AGCAATCCGTTAGAAAACCAGGAAGAGCTATACAGATATATTCAAAACACTATAGGTTAATAAAAACAGAATTCTAAAACATGTTTCAGCAATCCATTAGAAAACCAGGAAAATCCATTAGAAAAAGAAAGAGAACAAACAAAACAAAGCTAAATGCAAATTTAATCCTTAACATATCAATATTTAAATTAAAATGACCTAAATTCACAAATAGATACAGAAATAGAATTCCATAAAGTGGATTTATAAAGTGGTCCAACTGCAGGCTGTCTATAAGAAACTCACTTCAAACATAACAAGACAAATATGATAAGATAATATGAAAGTGTCCCATGAATGTACTTATCTAAAGGAAAAATATGGGTCCTCTAGATTTTATATAAATTTAAGAGAATTACTTTGACTCACATGTGTATAAACCCAAGTGTTATATGCACCTAGTAAAATATTCACAGCTGAAGTAATCAAAGTCTTGTAAACATGACTGACTAGACCAAATTAAACATATCATAAAGTTTACTTTAAACAAGATAAATAAGAATAAATGAAAGCTGAAGTTGTAGCTCAGCGGTTGATATACATCTATCATAATGCCTGAAGTTAAAGGACTAACCATACCAATAAGTTTTAAGTATGTGGAGGAACTGGTGTTCTCATGCACAACTATCATAAATGTAAAATATTACAGTTACCTGTGGAAAGCTATATAACTCTGCCACTTTTTTCAAAGATTTTATTCAGGAGCAATGAAAGTACGTGATCATACAAAAACTTGCATAAGAATGTTCGTGGCAACCTTGCTTTCGAGGATGAAAACTTGAAGTAACACTGATATCTATCAACAGATAAGTGAATAAACATAGTTTGTGGTGTATCCACATAATGGAAAATACTCATCCATACAAAGTAATGAAATAATGACAGATACAAAAGCATAGATGGTTATCAAAAACCATGTTGACTGAAACATAGTGATGTACATTGTATGAAAGTCATAAGCAAAAGTAATCTATGATGGGAATCAGAATACAGTTATTCACAAGAGATGAAGATCAAATGAAAGTAGGCATGATGGCATTTTTCGGGAATGATAATATCCCATGCCCTGATCATAGTGTTGCACAAATATTTCAGAAAAAGTAGTGAAATTGTATACTTAAGATCTGTGCATTTCCCTGTATGTCAATGTTACCTCAACTACAAAGATTTTTAAATACAGGATAAAAAATATACCTATTGGATTTCTGGTTTGAAGAGGGCAGATTAAAGTCTTTTTAATACCATTCTACTCTTTAAACTTATTCCCAAAACAGTTTAACAACAACAACAACAAAGACAAAACTCTATCCTTGATAGAAATAGAAGACATACTTTAAAAGACAGCTTTCAAAGGAGGGATGGTACAGGAATCAGGAAGATCAAACCTACAGAAAATATGCAATGCAAAAGGGTACTGGAAAGACTGACATGTCAGATACTGTAGAGAAGACAGAAGTACCTGTTGTGAGGGCAGGAGTGTTCAAAGTCTCTATGAGAAGTAGCTGGACCCCAGATCTCCACACCTAGCACCGGCACTCCCCCAGCACAGTAAAGCTTTTACCCTCATACTGCCAGGAAATGAAAGACATACTAGAAAAAGGACCAAAGAAGCTCTAGACTCAAGGATTCCAGGTACAGATGAGAGTAAGAATGACGCCTGATCCCAAACACAAGAGAATTAAGTGAAATATCACCTACGTCTCAAATGGCAACAAGGGGAGTGCCTTTTCCTACTCACCTTCCCAGGCAGGGGAGTGAAGAACCCTTTCTGGAGAAACTGAACCCTACAGAGAAAGCTCTTATAGAACCGGACATTAATGGGTCCCTGAACAAAAACTCCACAGGGAGGCCAGCAGCTCAAGGGACCAACCCACAAAAAAGTTTTGTTGCTTGGCTCTGTGGAGAAACAGAAAATTATGAGAAGCATCTCATCATGTTTAAAAGGGTTTAAGACATGCTACAAGAAGTTCAAAGGAGAGTAAGATAATACAGTAAATAAATGTACAATGGTAATTTTATGAGTCAACCTGGGTAGGTTACAGGGCCCAGTATTTTGGTCAATGAGAAGTCGAAATATCGCTGTACACATATTTTTTAGGTGTGATTAGCATTTAAATCAGTAGAGTTTGTGTTAAGTAATGAGCCTCCCTGGCATGGGTGGGCCTCATGCAAACAGCTGAAAACTGAGGAAAGACTGAGGTTTCCCAGTGAAAGAATTCTCCCTAAGGCTGCAGCACAGAAACCCTGCCTGAGTTCCCAGCCATTTCCCTTAGGAATTTACAACTCCAGAAAGCAAGGTTGACTCTCAGCTGAATCGCAGCCTGCTGGACTGCTCTACACATTTTAGACTTGCCAGCCCTCACCTTTCCATGCACCAACTTCTTAAAATAATTTTTTTTCTCCTTTTCTCTCTCTCTGCCTCCCTCCTTTTCCCTCCCATACTCCTTTGTTACTGGTTTGATTTTTCTAAAGAATCCTAATTCATGCAAAGAGCAAGCTTTCAAAAAATAAAAATCACCAATATACCAAGACAGAAGATAGAATATTCATGAACAAAAGCCAGATTCTATTAAAAAAAAAAGTTAAAAATATTGATAATAATAGAGCTTAATCTCAAAGATATGCACAGTGTTTGGAAGGCACAGTTATGTTTTCAGAAAGCCAAGCCTCTGAGTTAACATCACAGTGTCCAAAGCCTAAAAGCATTTCCCCTCCAATAAGTAGTGAGCTCTGTACCAATGCAGCTGACACACTTTTTAAGACAATTCAAGCAGGAAGTGCTGGAGAGGATGAAAATAATCTAAGTATCTAGCTAGGTGTTATAAGGCTGAGTCTTTCATTCTTAGCATTACTAATTTAAAAAGAGGAGGAAAAGTCTTATTTAGAATTGATATATTACACTTTATCATCTAGAGCAAATCAGGATCATTTTTAAAATGCTACACTTACAATAGTTGGTTTGTTTTTCGCTTTTTGGAACAGAGTCTCACTATGTAGTTCATGCTGGCCTTGAACTCACTTTGTAGCCCAGGCTGCCTCAGCCTCCCGAGTGCTGGGATTGTAGGCATGTACCACCATGCCTGGTACTTGCAATAGTTCTTATTTTATATTACATTGTGAAAACATTCTAATAATTAAAAGTAGTTGAACTAGAAAGTTGTACTCAAGAGAACATAAAACTTACCTGTTTAGACATATTTTCTGAAAATTTTGCTGATTTTTCTTTTAAAAATGTGACAAGATCTTTATACACTTCACCTTTTCTCTCATAATCAATTTCCCCCTCATCGTCTGTTTTACCCTTTGGGAGGTAAAGGTTGGTGCAGTGATTAATGTGACAGCAGTATAAGAACCTGGGCAACACATCACAATCTCAGCAGATATACTGCTTTTTTTCTCTAAAAGACCCATATGATAGTGTTTTCTTCTTCTTCTTCTCTGTCTCTGTCTCTGTCTCTGTCTCTCTCTGTCTCTGTCTCTCTCTCTCTCTCCCTCCTTCTCTCTCTCTCCTCTCCTCTCCTCTTCTCTCTCCTCTCCTCTCTTCTCTCTCTCTCTCTCTCTCTCCCTCTCTCTCTCTCCCTCTCCCTCTCCCTCTCCCTCTCCCTCTCTCTCTCTCTCTGTGTAGCAAGTCTTTGCTATGTTGTCCAGGCTGTCTCAAGGTCTCAAATTCCTAGGCTCATAAGATCCTCCTGCTTCAGCCTCCCAAGTATCTGAGACTAGAGGTGTTCCCTACCAAACAGTAGATTTTACACATGAACCTAATTTATACATCCATCCATCCATCCCTCCATCCATTCATTCATTTAGTCTCTCATCCACCTGACATGGGCCTCCTGTTCATACATGAAACTCTACTGTTCAGCAGAGAAGTACAAGCCTCTTCCTCCTGCTCTCCTCCACTGTGAAAATGTATTATGACTTCAAGAACCTTTGCTGATGAAGTCATAGAAGGCCTGCTCTGCAGCATGGTTGTTACAGGCACATTTTCTAGGGATTTTGTCTCTAAAAGGCCACCTGTCCCTCCATTTCCCTGCCTCTGCCCCTCTTCCTCCCAGCCTCTCTCTACTCATCTCCCTTTCCTTCCTGGCCCATTATTCTACCATAACACATTTTATAGCCATACAGAGAAATGCAGCATGTTTTAAACTTTTGCAGTTATTGAATATTTGTATGGTCTTCCCTTTCCACTTTTTAAAACCTGAGCGGAATACTTCCCGTATCAAATGAAGTTGCATGTGTATCAATCAGTGGTCTCTGACAGAAATAAGATCACTTGCCCTGCTAGAGAAAACCAGAGAACCTCTGTCCTTAGCCCCTGGGACAGCCACACTGACATATGCCAGTTACTGGGCCCCGCACAACGGCACTTCCTCAAGCTGCTCCGTGTGGAGACCCCATGCCCGCCTGGCTTGTGCCTGGGGCTGTGAGGGTGAGACTGGCCTTATTCCTTTGGGGCCCCTTTGCATCTTTCCTTCCATACCTGTGTGACTAATCTGTGAGCCAATTACAAAAGAGATTTGGGTTTTACAAAGTGGAATGAGTCATTCTGAAGGCTTTTTCTTAGAAGACGTGCTTTTTAACCACAGTGATGAACAACAAAGCTGATTCTGAGACGATTCTGGATTCTCCCAGAAAACACACAGCAAAGACACCTGCCTCAATCCCAGGGAGTTGTTTTCGGTTCTCTGTGGTCTCTGGGATACAACCTATGGGAGGAGGCATTACGGAGACCCCAAGCAGAACCCACACCCACTGGCTTTAGTCACACTTTTCAAATATTACTTACACCATTTAAAAATACACCTTCTGTACTGCACGTAATGCACAAAGTCTCAACATCATGTGGCTTCACCAGGACATAACACATTTCCCCATAAATCTGTCTCCAAGGTGGGGCTCGACATCCATTTGAAAACTCATAATCTGAAAACAACCATCAAGCCATATGTGAGACTTCAACTTAGAATTTTGTAAATGTATGGGCTTCAACAAAATAAAAGTTGTTAAAATTTTAAGTTTTAAATTTCTTAAATATTTCTTTCTAATATAGCCATGGAATGCATTCATAAAATACAAGTATGAAAATGTAAATGACATAAAAAGAATCTGAGAATACCTGAGGTGTAATCAATAGATTCCAAGACTGTTTGTTCTCCTTTTCCTGAGAAACTTTTGAGAAGTTCTATATCTTTCTTAACAGGCTCTGGATTTAAACATATTTGTCTGAAATCAATGTTTAAAAAAATTAAGTGCATTAAAACAGAATCCACAGAAAATGAACAAGTATCATCATTTCAAGGGGAATCTTTGTTTGCAACTAAAATGGTACTTCATTTTAGCCACATTATAATTTTTAACAACCCTATCAAAACACTGAGTGATTAGTAACTCATGCTGAATGCAACATTAAATGTTTATCAGTCAACTCATTTTGAATGATGCCATACTAGTAGAAAATAGCGTAAAAGTGAACATATTATGCAGTACACAAACTCAACACAATATTTGTGCTATAATTCAATAACTTATATGATTATCCTAACAGTATTTAAAATAACCAGGCTGTTTAACATCTTCAGACTTGGATGGAACCCCATTATACTGTTTCAGCAATGCTAACTGCAAATTTTAATTTTTAGAACTAGAACAAATCCAATAAAATTAGAATACTATTCCAACAAAATGTAATATTCACTTAATAGCAATAACATCTATATTTTTCTTGCAATTTTTCTATAACTCTGAAAGCAGTATTTGTAACTATTTTAAAGGTTTATTTGATAAAAGACTCACAGGGAAATATGTCTTAGGATATAACTAAGAAGATGCAGATCTAGTTGCTTCAGCAATATGGCAATCCTCATCTTCATCTCACTTTCAGGATCATCACTACTGGTAATTTTATGAAGAATATTGAAGGCACTGGAGTCTTCTGTCATTGTACTATAATCTGAGCCCAGGATTTTTACTACAGGGTCTCTGTTAGCTGAAAATAAATAAATAAATAAATACACAAACAAACATCACCCTCTTATCTTCCAATATGACAAACAAACACAAAGACTAACAAATCCATCAAAGTCTCTTACTCATCTCTACTTGGGAGATTCTATTGTACTTAGAAACTTTCTTATATGCCTCAATGTATATTTCCTTTTTTTTTTGTTTTAAAAGAAAGAAAACATATTAACAAACAGACATCCATTTACAAAATAGCATAAGAACAATACAAGCAATACTGAATTACAAAGTGGTAGGAAATTAACAATGGTTGTTGTACATTTCCTTTAATAGGACAAAGGCCAAGACCAAGACTGATTGGTTTCTGCCTCTCCCCCATCCAGTTCTCTTCTTCCTTCTCTACCTCTTCTACCTTGTTTTCTCTCTCCTCTCGCTCTCTTCTCTCGTCCCTCTTCTCTCTTCTTCCTCTCTCCTCTCTCTTCTCCCCTCTCTCCTCTCTCCTCTCCCCTCTCCCGTCTCCC